TTTAAAGCATCCAATGGGCAATTTAGTTACCTGATGTGCTTTGTAAGTCAAGCCCCAACTTTGCTGCTTCTGGCCAGTGCAAAGCAATTACATTATGACAGCAGTAGGCATCAAACCATGCTAAGAGGCTCTACTACTTGAAGGCAAAAATATCTCAAGGAACAGTCACATGCAGTTTATTAAAACTGTCCTGGAAACACCTGTCAAGATGGATATTGTACTATTTCATGGAGGACACAATGAAATATGACTTATGCTATCAAGCTGAATAAAGAGGGTACATACATATACAGGAGACCTTGGTAGAGAGGTTAACGCTTACATGTTGACACTTGGTTTAGGAACCCACAAGGGTACAGAAGATGTTAGAAGCTGCTAACTGCCTTCAATGTTTCAAAGGTAATTTTTTTGTCACCAAAAGGTTAAAATGCACAAGACCAACTTGTAGAAGAGACATTTATACATCAACCCTAATAAAAATGTATTTAAGTGAGAACTGTTATCTCTTTGAACATTTATCAGTATTCCATTTTCCATTTATCAAGTGTCATCTATGTGCACAAAATACAAACAAAGCTATTAGATAGTAGATCAACTCAGAACACAGTAATAGGAACTCTCCCACAGAGCAGGTGAAACTGAATGCATTTATTAAATGATTTGTTCTAGCTCTTGTGACTGTCTGAAGGCCCAAGACAAGACCTGAATGTGGAATGACACTGTCAGCAGTGAACAGAAAATTACTTTTAATATCATGAATCAAGGCAGAAAGGCTTGAACAAGGATCCTTCACAGTACTCAGGCACAACTTGGAAGGCAACCTAATGCCTAGGAATAGCAGATGGACTGAGCCCTTTTCAGGCACTAAAAAAAAGCAGAAACCAAATGTTCTCCAGGCTAACTGGCCACATAGCAGAAATACTGCATGACCAGATAGCTGTTGCCTGAATAAAATGTCACAGTGCCCCGAAATGTGGGCAATTCAGAGAATGCCACTAGATGCCAGAAACGGGGGTGTGCAGATCCATGCTAAAAGCTGGGGATGATGCTCAGCAGCAAACTGATGAGGAGGTTCTGAGTCACAGAAAGCATATCAATGGTCAGATGGGAGCAAGAAGGTAAAGTGTATACCAGCTACCTCAGAATGAATTAGTAATGGAATCTTTTTTTTAATAGCATTTACAGCAGGACTCCCATATCCCATCTCAGTTACTGCAGTTTCATTTAAGCAAGGCTGACTGTTGGCCCTCCACATTCGTGGGAATTAGGGGTGCAGGACCCCCACAAAAGTGGAAGAACTGTGAGTATCTCTAGGGAACTATGCACTCTGTTTAGGCATGCTATGCTCTTCATCTCTGTATTAGTCAGCCTCACTCACATGTATTATCACTCAATGGATGCAAAGACTCTAGAGATATTTGCACTTTTCCCCTACAGATATCCACAGTTTTTCCACTTCTGCTGGTTTCCTGTGCGCCAACCCCCACAAATGTAGAATTTGCTACCATCTAGGGTTTCAGGCATCTGCTGGGGGCTTGGAGCCTATCCACTGTGGATATGGGATCCCGCTGTATTTGCTTTCTTGTTCTCTATTACAAGACTCTTACAGGATCTACTCAATGTTCTGGTTCTATACTCCACTGCTACAATATGGTTTCCAAACTTCGAAATTTAAGCACAGTTTTCCCTTGGACCTATATGCTACAGAGTTCTACATCTAACCACTTCTTTCAAACTGTTTCCATCTTAGTGATCTTATGCTTATCATATGAAATTTTTAAAAACTGGCAGAAGAAGCACACACAGGGCAAACAACAAAAAGAATCATCCAAACCAACTAAAACCGGGAAGCAAAAAACAATTTCATCATGTTTTTCTTTACCTGAATAGCTTCTAGCTTATGTCTCAAATTCACAAGCACTGTTCTAGCTAACAACAGCAAGAAGGAATGGGAAGTCAGGCTGTAGACCGATTCACCATCTAGAACCAGCACAGTTAAGATAGCTGTAGACAATGTTGCTGGCTGCAAAGAGCAAGCAAAAAACTCATTTTAGACAGAGTCAACATTATTTTACAAGATGTAACAAAACATGTATGCTCAACACAGCAGTTTGTATAAATATACAAAAAAAAAAAAGGTACCACACTGACAGGAGAAAGGAGAGAATGGAAGCCAGGGAGGCAGGAGGAGGCAAGAAAGAGAAGTCAGAGAAAGAGGAGAAAAGAAAGGGGAGAGGGAGAGGGGTATGCACATGTGTGCATGCACACGCACACTGAGAGAGAGAGGATGAGACAGAATAAAAGACAGTGAATGGAAAAGACAAGCCAAAGGGGAGATGCCCACATTGAGCATTCCTTCATTCATTCATTCCCTAGTATTTTTCCCCTCTTGCAAGTAACACGAGATGGCTTACATAGTTGCCCCTCCTGCAGTCTATCATCACAACAATGCTGTGGGGTAGGTTAGGTTGAGAGCCAGTGAGCTTTTTGGCTGAGTGGGGCCTGGGACTCAGATCTCAGGAGCCCCAGTCCAGCTTGCCAACCACTCCCCTGCACTGGCATACTGATGAGGGCCAAGGTTTATGAAAGTTTCAGAATCTTTGTTCATAGCTCATGAAACCACATAAATCTCCAGAAAGTGCATCAATTCACTATGATTCTAAAGACTAAGTAGGATAATACAGGTTAACAGTCGTTCAATAGAAATTTAGTGTAAGTAACAATTAGCAAAAATAAGCAGAACCAACTTCCTTTATTTCACAATAGAAACTTTCAGCATATTACCAATCAGAAGAGATGTAATAACCAGGATATGCCCGAAGAGTTTTCATTAAAACCTACTTTGAACCTTCATGAACAAGCTGGAATGAACTCTAATGGACATCAACCTCAAATGTAAGAACTGCAATTAACAAGATGCACCCACTCTTAATGAAATTATGTAAGCTGGATCAGTGCTTCCAAAGGAGTTTAGCAAGCATCATACTCTCAAGAATCTGGCTGACTTATACACCAACTTGTCAGATCCCTAGTATTAGGAGGGTATTCATCAAGCAGTCACTGTACTGTTTACGGGAGGGGAGGGGAGGGGGAAGTACCTCACTGTATTGTTGTAACAATTCAGATGGCAGAAAGTCCTGAGGTCGTAAGTCAACAGGAGGTCCGGTCCAGTTGTTCTGAACAAACAACTGCAAGGTGCCCACACCAAGGAGAAACACCACACTTTGTCTGCAAGACACAACAGTAAGCAAGCCTTGTCATGCTGAACAAATTCTAGGTAAGCTCCAAGATGCAGAATAAAAATACTTCCAATAAATAAGAAGCAAATAATTCTATTTTTATTACCACTGCTTTATGGGTATGAATGAATTCTGGATAGGAACTCAAATGAGCATTAAAAACTGACCTGCTCCTTCCCTGTAAGTCTTTAGTTTAAGAGATGGAAGGCCCAAATGATTGAGCAGAGCATAATTCTCTGATCTGGGGATATATATCAGCATATATATCTGAAGAAAATTTCCCTCTACTACTCTTCAAGGAAGCCTGTGCATTTTGTCTTTCTGAAGTACTTCAAGTCAAGATTAAATGGGTTCATGTTAGCCCTAAGAAACGTTTGAAAAACATCTTCATTTCTTGCCTTTCTGAACTTAGCATGAGTGTGGGAAAATTTCCCTGCCTTTAATTGAGGCAGAAGACAGAAAACCAACATCAGAGAAACTGCAATTGTAATGAAAATGGAAATCAGAAAAGGTTTAGTAACAAATATAACATTGGCAAGATGTTCTGGGAATATTAACACACACAAATAATAGAATAAGTTAAATAAAATAAATCCTAGAGAAGCAAAACCCTGCAACTCCCAGCATGTTTCAGCCAGCACACTTGGCTGGGACATGCTGTCACCTGTGCCTCTTTTTTAAAACGTTTAAACTTTTGTAGAACTGCACCTTAACAGAGTATAACAACATAATTGTTAAAAACAGCAACAATTATGTTATGTATTATGCAAGTGCATGTATGCTTAAGATCAATGTATTAAAAAGTTCAGGTCATTAACACTGAAATTTAATGCACATCTACTCCACAGAAAGTCTCACTGACTTCAATGGAGCTTATTCCCAGGTAAATAAAATATATACGTAGTTTTGTTGCTAATGAGGTATCTGAATTGAGTAGTAGACTTAAATAATGTTCTGATACAAAAAAACAGCCACTGCATCAGAAGATAAGAGTTCACAATGTGGATAAATGCTGTTCTTCCAACAAACCAGTCTTCAGAAGCGTACACTAGTAAAAACTACATTATCCAGATGCAGCATAGACATGTGTGTATAGCTCACTAATGTGGATTATCTGGAGATTTCTGAATTGAATTTTCCTCCAAAATATATTCCAATATCCTAAACAGACAGCACAATTTAGCATATTTATTTAATTTACATTTTGTAAATTGTGCCTTTCCAGTTGCACAAATTACCCTGTCCTAAAAGAAACTAAGTTCCAAACTTTGCACAAAAGAAAAATTCAAATGACGTTACATATGTGCATGTGTGATTACTTGTGTAACTGGTTACACACTGTACCTACACAAGGACTTACACAAGTGAAGCAAACAGCAGAGTCCAGTAGCGCTATACACATATGTGGAATGATGCTACTGGTATTGTCATGCCCCTGCTGGAGGGATTCTCCAGTGTGTTTGCACAGCGAGGAGCTGAACCACACTGGATCCTGCTGATAAATTTACATGTAATACTTTTAGAGTTGTTCCCCAAGAACTGTAAATGCACCTATATGGTTGCTGTGGAAACTGATCCAGAATGTGCTCTTCTTAGGTTCTTACTTGAACTTAAGTATTTAATTAGGAAAAGGATGAATAATGCACATAGACAGAGCAGTCCCACAGTCCCTGGGAGAGTTGGGAGGGAGGAAGAGGCCTTCGGGTCCAGAGGATTCTGGTCCATCTCACCCACAACAAGGTAGGTCAGCAAGAAGAGCCAGGAGGCTCACCTAGCTGAGAATTGCAGGAAAAGGAGGAGGAACAGGAGGTACTTTTCAGTTCTGTCTGCTTCCTGTCTTGCCCACTTTCTGCCAGCAGGCCACAGAATAAATAGAAGTCTCCAAGCTTGGAGCATTCTATTCAGCTACAATTTCTACAATCCCAATTTGTTTAAAAGCTTCCCATTAGCAACATGCTCTTTTGAGTGGCTGTTACAATATAAAATCAACAAATAACATTTGAAATAATACAATTAAAATATCATAATCAATAGACAAAATAAATTCACAATAACATAATCAAATAAAAATTAAGATTTCACCTGTTTACTTGATTAAATAGACATGATTCTTGATTTCATAATCTGAATTTGGGATTCTATTTTACCTCCCTCTTTATGAATCACCAAAATATTTGTATCTCTTTCCCTGACTAAGAAGGTAGAGTGAGTTAAATCAAAGCAGTTTAAATAAGCCAAAAATGGGTGGAATGCTGCCCCATAGATGGAAGCTTGGAGTTTCAGGAGCATCCAAATAACCAGTGCCCTATCAGGCTGCTTGTGACAAGGTGGAATGAACAACAGGCAATTTTTACCTGTCCTCCTTTTTAATTTTTCCCCTCTAAACAGGCCTCTGTGGATCTTTCAGCTTACTCCCCACTGAACCCAAATCACAATTGGTACAGGATTGCAGCCTAAGTACACTCTGTACAATCTGGGGTTTTTTCTTTCAAGCATCACTCATTTCTGCTTCACTCTGTCTTGACCCAGTCTTGTCTTCGCAAAAGCAAATTAAGAAACAAAATTGAAATCCCTTAGGATTATACCCTAAAGGTGTATAAACATGACAGAGCCATTAATTTGTTTTTATGAGACCATTAAGTGTAGGTTAAGCATGTTGATATTTAATTTTCACTACGCCATTTTAAAATGTAGCATGTTATTTTTTTAATCCAAACTCCCTGATTTAAATAGAATACATCCATTCAGTTTAAATTGATTTTTCTTCACCCTGCCTTTGACAGATAATCACTTGCAAAACACTGGGTAAAACCATCTGTCTCTGCCAACTGATGGAATGGCATCTACTAGCAGAGTTCATTGAGACCTTCCCAAATGTATTTTGTTAGTAATTACTACTTTTTGTTTTTTTGGATGTGGAACATCTTCCACAGTTAAATAAATAACTAAAAAAAACTACATCGACATCACTGGCACAGATGCAAGTGAAAATAGCACCTAAGGGCCAAACTGATCAGTATGCTTTCTGCAACATTTAGGATACCATGTTGTCAGCTATTTTGGTATACATCATGCATGTTACAAGCCCTGTATATGATAATCACTTAAAACAGGAATGTGATCAATGGGGAACAAAGACCTGCAAATCTACCTTATCCATATGGCTTATCATCTCAGATGCATCTCAGAAGGCCAATCTATGCATGATCACATGGGCCCAGTGGATCAATCAGGACCAAGATGCAAAAAAATGGGATGAATCTGAATAACTCCCCACAAAAGCCTGCTCATGGAATGAGGCCATCCTTTCCCTCCAACCCACTGCAACTCCTTTAAAAACTCTCTGTGGAATCACGGACTAGTGTGGGATATGGCCTGAGAGGAACTGTTTTCCACCTGCTCTCATCAGACCCAACCACTGATTCTTTACAAAATAAAAGATACTACAGGAAAGTTAAGTTTTTTAAAAAAATATATGTCTGCATGAAGTGAATAGAAAACTAACTCTTTTTTTTTTTTCAATCATCCCCTGTGGATTATGGGACTTAAAGTTTGCCTCCACTGGTATGACTTTCCTCTATTTGCAGAAAAGGATTTGCCTCTCAGATAATATTTTGATCTGCCTCATCTTCTTTTCCCATTTCTTACTTTCCCTTTTCATCCTCTGTCTATGCTTCTGCCTCCTTTAAGGTCATTCAGAAAGTTTTAAAAACTTAATCCTAGTGGAGTGTGTACATGTGCGCATGCACATACATTTGCATGAGAATGCTTAAGATTTAACCCTAAAACCTTAAAAAAAAACTTCAGAGAAACCATAGCAATGTACATCCCTCTCTCTCTTTGCTAGATTGCAATCACTGAGAAAAAGTAAAGCAGGTCAGTTTAAGTTTAGAATATGATTACCTATGTTTCTGTCACCATGAACTGGTAAAATCAACAGGAACCCCAACAAAAGTAAGGTTGAAATACTAGCATACAAGGACAAACAGTTCAAGAAAATTTGTCAGAAACACATCATGTCTCATATTTAAGTCCCACAGTAAATCATTGCATCAAGGTTAATATGTCAAATAACAAAAGTTATTGAAGTCCTTAAAGGCACAATCCTATGCATGTTTGGGCAGAAAAATGGCTTACAACTCCTAGTTTGCCCAGCCAAGAATTTTGCCTGGGGCTTCTATCAAACTTGGAATTCCTTTTATTGTCGGCTAGAGAAACGGGAGTATGCATAGACTTAAATATGTTTATGGATAATTATAAAAAAAAGTACAGGGGGCTGACCCAGTAGGTCTGATGCTTTTGATGATTGATGATTTCTAGTTTCTTTTTGTTAGCTAGTAGAAAAATAACAATAAAACTTACTTTAAAAAAAAGAATTCTGCTTAGGGCACGATGGGAGCTCCAGGCCTTCTTTCTGCCTATAAAAGCATAGCAACTGTGCCTTAAGCCTACTAGACACTGACCAGCTATGTCTATCTTTAAGCTTATATTATTTTCATAGTTTGGGGTATATTTAGGGGCTTGACTCTTTTGGAGTTGTATTTTAAGTAGACAAGAATAATAAACTGACAGTGGACAGGATTGGGCCAATATGCATTCTCATTTTATCAATAATTTCAGGGCTCTGCTGTAAGACACAAAACATCCTACTCTCTCAGGTATCAGAAGAAAACGTCTTCTTTCCTCAGTAATTCTCCCAAGAATTTTAGTTTCAGACTGCTTGAAATTTGGTACTGTATTTTAATTCTTTGTAGTACTGCTTAGTGTTACTTCAATTTCCCTTTACTTATATACTGTAATGTTAACTATTTAAATATTATGCTGTATTTTATGTTTTTAATTGTTCTCAATTGTTGTGAACAACCCAGAGAGTTTCAGCTATTTGATGGTATCAAAATGCAATAAATAAAATGAATAAGAACAAATACTTTTATTCAAAGTTGCAGTTTTTGTTCAAAGATATGTTAAACCTTTTGCACTATGTTGAGCATACTTCTAGCATTGGACAAATGTCCTTCTGTTACATAATGACAAAAAGTTTCGAAAGTCAATTATCAGAAAGTTATAGAAACCTTGGGTTGTATCAATGTTCATCTAATTTTTGCCATTCATTTCAATCATATACTTTAAGCATAACTGACATTCAATACAATCGTACATCTAACACTTTTCCAGTATATTTGACACCTGTTAAAGCAAAACCAGGCCCCCTTCCATCTGTGCGTTTGTTGCAACTCCTCTGTTGTTCATGCTGGAACATCATTTCCTTGCCACGTTTGCGTCATCATTTAAAGCGAACTCTTCATCACAATGCACAGAAAGAAGAGGGAATGGCTGACTCAAAGGACAGCTTGAGCTATTCCCACATTAAAGTTGAAGTCACTAAGCAAAAGGGCAATACAGTATTGTAATATGCACAGTGTAGTGCAAATGCCAAAGATTAAACACCCAGATATTGTCTGAGATAATTTCAATAATGTGTGCTAAGATCCATTCAAAACAGGTTTTTAAATTCAAGCAAAATCTTGCTATTGGCTTCTATACTGTCAAATATTATATTTTCAAGAGAGCAATAAAAGTATTTCTTTTGCAAATAAAGCTATTTTTACCTTTCCATAGAATCAATGTCTGCAGAAGAATAGTCCAGATAACCCTGAACCTGCTTTTCTAAATAGTTGTCAATGGTTTCTTCTTCTGCTCTTACAGGTCTCGTGAAGATATTCTGGACTGCTTTACTTAGTAAGATGGCTTCATAATTCCCTTCCAACAACAACTGCAACAAGGACCCACTTTCTAAAATAAAATACATCAATGTGAAATTCTTAAGAGCATCCTATGCTTCACATGGTTATCTGACACATAGAACAAAAAGAATATTAAGTGCTTTTCTAATTACTTATGTTATATCTTGTGTTATAACATAATTACTTGTGTTATATCAAACAGTGTTCATATTCCACTCTTACGGTGTGCTTATTGCATAAGTTCTTTAAAAAGACAGATATTAACAGATACATAAAAGCTTTCCATCATGCATCAAGCTTCAAGCAAAGTGAAAATAACAACCTCCTGTTTGCTCTGAGCCCTCAAACATTATTTGAGACTGTTGCAATGGCTTTTTAAAAGTTGCACCACTTTTAAAACAGAATAGACCCCTCATCTACAGCAATGAACTACAGCAATTGTTTAATCAGCTAACACCTTGTTGTATCAGAAGAATTCAAGAATTATTTTCTCAGTCACACATTGAGCAGTAGTGTCAATAGAAATAAAAATACAACATGTTAGAGATGCAACGTGATGATTACAATCACCTTTACAGAACTCTATTAGTATGATCAAGGTGATACTGTTAGTTGGGCATACTAAAAATGATGGCTTATTTGTCATGCTGGTGCCTACTGTGAGAGGACTTGCAATGTATCACAGGAGTGATTAATAGGCTTGTGGCAATCAAGACAATTCTTAATTAAAAACAGATTCTGTGAGAAGATCACTGTGAGGAACAGAATCACTAGACTTGTGCATCCAAAGAGCTTTCCTATCCCTATTGTCTGAGATTGTAAGCAGAAAGCAACATTATATACATAAGGGATAGTAAAAATTCAACCAATCACTTGCAATATGTTACAGAACTTAAATATCTCAGGGACACTCTGCATCCGAACAAGTGACCATATGAGGCTTTAGTACATGAAGTTTCTGTTTTCTTTGCAGTTCCGAAGAGGGGAGAGGAAAAGCAGCAGTGATACCCTCTGGTTGTCTCCCACTAGTTTCACCTTTCGGTAGTGCAGGAGCAGATGTCTACAGCGTGGTAAAGTGAGAAGTCACAAACTGTCCGTTCCGCCAATCCATACCCTTACCAGTCTCCACCCTCACCGCGTATTACCCCAGTTCACCACTGGATGTTGCACAGCTCTGCAATTAATGGAGAGTGGCTGTCCAGATGGAATAACTGTCCTGCAAGGAAACCACATCTACAACTTCTCCCGTACCCTCTGGGAGGCACATAAGTCCTTCCCTTCCTCCACCCTCCACCCAAGCTCAAACAGGCATCAAGAAAGATAAACAGAGCAGGAAGTCAGAGACCTTTCTCATGACGTGAGCTGAGCGGGGCTATTTATTCCAGCCCACTCCTTGTGAAGAATCTTGAAAGGGAGCGCAGGAGACGACGTGAGCATGAGAAGTGGGCAGCGCCTAGACAGCCTGATCTGGTTCGGCTCAGTCTTACCTGCAGCCGAAGCCGCCTCGTTCTGTTTCCACCGCGGCGACTCTGCCGCGCTGGGAAAGCCTCTCAGTAACACCCGCTCCAACGCCCGCATCTTCTCGAGTCGACCTCTCAGAACAGGGGGAAGGATCAAAACGAAAACGCCGCTTTCCTCTACGCGTGGCAAGAAGGCTGCCAAGCTAAACCCATGTGCGATTAGCGGCCTCTGGGAGCTGCCATGCCAGTCACGCTAAGCACTCTGGGAGGAGGGCGGCGACGCATGCGTAAGAGCGCCGGTCGAAGACCGGTGCTGGCGGAAGACTTCCCAAGCGCACGGGAGGAGGTGCGTGGGTGGGCTCGTCTCACGTGGCAAGGAACGGGATGGGTGGGAGTCTGTGATGTCGCACGTGTTTACTCCAAAGTAAGCATTCCGCGGGGCTCTCTTGAGCCTCCAGTTCGCCAACAACGGTGCGTTGGGACGCGCTTTCCGCCTTCTCCAAACGTGCAAGCAGTGCTGGGTCATTGAAAGTCTGTGCATCTGTTTTGCAGCAGCCCCATTGGTATGAATGACCGTCAAGCCTCCAGATCAGACTCAAACGAGGCATTTTGCATCGTTCCCAAGTGTATGTGTGCGCCTGCCACTCCTCGTATCTCGCTTGTGTAACCTGCTTGTGGGGGGGGGGGTAAAAATCCCACCGAAAACGCCCCGTTAACACGATCGATGCCCCTTCAAAGCCTCTGAGGTTGCAATAGGAATGGGGCGGAGAGAGAGCTGAGGTGTGGCATAGAAGATGCTGAGGAGAGGTACTCTTCGTGCTTATTTTCTGTCAGAAATATCCTGCCCGAAGGACCAGAAAGGTCGCAACTGAGGTGCAACAATAAATAAATGGCTGCTTGCCGATTTTCCTTAGCCTCTTCGATTTGCCAGGCTCTGCCTCCCTTTGATATTTACGTGTTAGCTTGTTTTGCTGCGCTGAAACAGATGCAATAGAAAGAAGAGACCCTGCGATTTGCAAGCATCTTTCAATTGAAACAAAACAATTGATCCGGATTCTCTCCCATGTTTCCGTGGGGTGCTGCAGTAGCTGAGAGACTTCCCCAGTTCTCAGGGGGAAGGAAGAAGGGAATGCCCATGGATGGATGGGGACATATGCCGTGGTCCCACCCACCATAGACACGCTGCCCCAGAAGGTTAAAAATTGGTCCTTTAATGTTATTAAAAATTAAAAAAACAAGCTCCCAACCCAATGTATTGAGGTCCGTTTATCTAACTGCAGGAAACAAGAAGTCAGGAACAAGATTTTTAAAAACCAACCCAAACGCTCTTCATTGAAGTATGCACTAAACAATACAGAACAGTCTGCCGCTCCTACTTAACAGACCTGCACCAGCCATTAACAATCCCAATGTTTTTATACCTTTAAGGGGAGGGCGGGTTCTTTTGGTTCTATCCTTATCTGTACATTAATCCCCTCTTTTGTGCATTCTTAGCTAGAGAAAGTAGGGCACATTCCACACTTAACAGTGGACAGTTAAGCAGGAAGTTAGGTGCCAACAATGATCTGCTCAGCATTATCACAACTAAGGATGCTGTTTCAGCTGAACAATTTCTGTTACACCAGTGTTCATACACACAGAAATGCTGAATTTGTGTACAACTTGAGGGGCACTTTTTGGGTCGAGACCTCAGCAATATTACAAAGAATTCAAGCACAGCAATCAGAAATTTATATCAACCTCTCACAATATCCTTCTTATTCTTTCTCTAAAATATATATACATTAAAAATATATCACTAATAGGCATTCTATTTGGGAATGGTAGTGAGATGTTGGAGGAGAAAGCTATTGCGTGCCACATAACTCTCCCTACATCCACTAAGCTGTCTTGTTGCCCACAGGTGGGGTGAAAGATGTAACTCCTTCAATTATACTTGAAGTCTATTCAAGTGCTAGTTCAGTTACCTTCTGTAACACAGAGCAGGGTGCCTTTTCTGTTTCAACACAGGGATTAAAATGTCTTGGTCTGGACTGGTCCTGGATGAGAAACAATGCATGAGGAAAAAACAGCTTTTCACTCATGGTGCAATCCTTTGCTGCTGGAGATGGCATAAGCTGCAAGGGAATATCCCTGCTTTTGCTTCAAATTCATCAAAGAGTGCTTTGCAAAGGAAAATATGAACATTAGTTCATCGGTGCATATGACTGCAAGGCACAGTGTCATTGTAACTGTGGAATAAGGTTACAAACTGTATACACCCTGGTCAGAAACCTGTTCAAGTATGCTTTAAGGTTAATTAAAGCAGTCAGATCATTCAAAGCTTGCACTTTCTCACACAGCTATGGATATCCCTTATTTCCCGTAGAGGCACATAAGAGCCTGGGTGCCACATCAAAACAGAGTGACATGCCTCCATGACAGACATTGATTTTTTAAGAAAGAAATTAATTGAGTTTCTTGTAAAGCACATATCCATGCAAACCCACAAAAGTAAAGAATATTCATATTCTGTATGTGACTGCCAGAAAACCTGTCATGGCTTCCATGAATACAAAGGGGAATGAAAACATGGAACCAATACTAAATACAGTATGAGACAGACAAAGTTAAAAAGGACATTGATTGGTAAATAGTCTGCATTGCACTTGAATTACTACATACTTTGAAATGTTTTCCTTCCATTAGATTCTTATTACATTATCTTGGGAATGCCAGAAGCCACACTATTCTTTTTATAACTTCAAGGATCAGTACATACTGAGCTTGTATTAATTTGAGCATTTTACTTCATTGTAAATGGCTGAATTAGAATACTTTAGTACTTACCGTGCTATGACCCTAGTGAGGTAAACCTTCAATGCTGTTGTCCTGTTTTGCACAAATACAACTTAAAATTTTGTGCCTGAAATACAATGTCCAGAACCATTATTTTTCCACATAAGTACTGCTTGTTTTTCAGGAGACCACAAAATATGAGGACAGGCTGAATTATTACTGTGTACTTCTGTTATTGCCCTGCATTTCTATCCCACAGTTTAGCCTCTTGCAAGAATCCCAAGGCAGCTTATGTAGTTCTCCCCCACTATATTTTATTTTCACAACAGCAAGTCTGTGAGGTAGATTAGGCTGAGAGTGAGTAACTGGCCCAAAGTCACTCAGCAAACTTCATAGCCAATGGTAACAGAACCTGGATCTCCCAGGTCCCCAGTCCAATCCTCTCTCCACCATACCACACCACACTGGCTCACTATTGCTTTAAATAATAGCAGTTGTTGTTGTTGTTAATTTCATTTCTATACTGCCCATAGCTGAAGCTCTCTGAGCAGTGTACAAAGTATTAAAATACAATAGATAAAAGCAGTAAGATTTAAAAATGAATTTTAAAGAATATTAAAAGACCTGGCCAAGAGTAAAAGGCACCTGGCTAACTGTATCAGGCCCCTGAATAACCAGGGAGGTCTTTAAAGGCCCCAGCTGAGAGGGCTGTCCTAATATGGCACCAAAAAGATGGTAAATTTGGCCCTGAGATTTGCCTTATTCAGGAAGCGGGAAGCTATTTATTCAAGACACACAGAGAAGCAAAGAAAGGAAAGTAACATGGCTGGAGGGTCCCTCCTTCCCTGGGAAGAATGCAGCAAGGGTATTGCCTGTTAATGTGACAGTGCCACCTGGAATGCCAGAAATCTTCCATTGTTTTCATTTGTCAGTCATGTCTTTGTGGATTTATGTCAAAGACTTGGCCCAATTCCCATGTTACATTTTTGTAAGCATCTTTTGTACTGCTACAATTGTATAACCCTAAACTTTCCTGGTTGTTTTGCTGCTACTGCGGTGGTGGTGTTACTTCCCTTAGGATTATGAGTTTCTTGTGATCATTCAGATTGTTGAGGCAGGACCACTTGTTCTTTACCATCAATCTGTAGTTCCTAATAGCAGCTTTCCAGCTCTGGCAGAACTCTCAACACTTTTGGCTGAAGTGCAAGTCCTTGTGAGGCATTGTCATTTTCTGGCAATCCAGAGATTTAATGCAAAAGCATGTCTGGCAATGTGAATTTTTCCTGCTTTGCAACGACCCAACCTTGGCTTTCAAATCAGAAGAGCAGTGTTAGGCAGCAATCCTATATGCACTTACACAGCATAAGTCCCATTGAATTTAATGAAGTTGACTCCAGAGTAGAGATGTAGGATTGTATTGTTAGCATGTATGGCTCCATTCTGCTTGAAATGGACCTGTATTTCCTGCCAACCTCTTACCTGAAACACAAGTTATCCAAGGAGTGAAAGTTACAAATTGCAATCACTGGCCAAAAGCCAGCTTTATTGACATTCAACCAACCTCATCAATCTATCCAAATCTTTATTTGTCCTTTTTGATAGACCTGTGGAGGGCAGGAAGATGTCAAGGGCCTCCTCCCGTTGATGGGATGATGACTCCATATTAAATGAGTGCACCTCAAGGTTGGCTGTCTTATAACATTGACTAATGAGCTATATATTCATAGGGGAGGGGGAAGGAAAGAATCTTGAGCACAAAAGAGGCTACAATCTCTTTTTCAAGACAGCCCTTCATGAAGGTTGTCAGGGTCTTTGGTAAATGAGGACAGCTGCGTGTCCTTTTTGCTATGAGACATGATTGGAATCTGCTGCTGTTTTAACATTGAGCTTGACTATTATTATGATTATTATTATTTCAGCTTTAATTGCTGGTGGTGTTTTGTCCACAGAGAAACCTTGTTTTGCATTCTTGTACAATGTATTCACTATTAATTACATACACAGACAAACAAGTTTAGAATGCAGTGATTTTTCGGGCATAAAACCAAATTTGAGCAAAATCTCATAGGATGGCTGAGGTCAAGATTTAATATGATATGGCTCCAGTGATATAGATTCTACTCAAATGTCATATCTTTGTTCCCTGGATAGAATAATGGCTTTTTCTATTTAAACTGCATTTCCAGAAAACTTGTTAACACATTACTTTAACAACACCTTGTTAATGCTGAAAATTAGATGACAAGGATGAAAATTGTGTGTTTCTTGTTGCAAAATTACTTTGTTTAGCATTTAAATTAGGCTACTTATATCTTCCTTGCAACATTGACTCAAACTGCAGCACTTTCAGAAGTTTGATATTTAAACAGAATTAAGGTTGCCATCCTAAGCCCACTTAATGTGGCCATGTGTTTTGTTTTCTCCCAAACTGCTGGTATTTTAAGAGTTGCCTGGAAAG